CTTTTTCTCCACATCCTCGCCAACATTTGTTGTTGCTAGTTGTTTGAAGATGTGCCATTCTCACTGGGGTGAGGTGGTATCTCATTGTGAAAACACCATAATTTTTAATTGATAAAATCCCCTCACTAGATGCGGATGAATTTATATATTTAAAGCAAATTCTAATAAACAGAAGATAGTCTATTTTTACATTAAAATATGTAAAACTTTAGCCCCAATATTTTCACAAATGCTGTTTCTTCTGCCTCTATTCAAAGCACCTTTCTTTAATAATCTTTTTTCAAGACATATCTCTTCAATTATCTCTATTTGTGATTCTTTTTAACATTTCATCACATGCAGATACTGCAACATCATAGGCATTTATAATTTCATCCCATTCTGGTGGAGAATATAAATTTATCCAATTAAAATTCAGAGCTCAAGATTTTTCCAAAGCATAATTTTCAAATTAGGTAATAGACCATGTGAGGCTCATCTTCTGATTTGTTCAACTCCTCCCCTGCTTTGATAGGGAGAAACTTGAGCTTTCTTCTTTTTGTGAGCTTTGTTTTACATAATTGCGACTTGCTAAAAGCTTCAAAAGCTAATTTTTATGCTGCATTCATTGAATAATTGGATTAAATATTTCCAGCTGATTTTGCACATAATGCAACCTACAGTTAAGTGGCTTTACAAATTGGCTCAGGCATTTCTAAAATCCAACAGATGATACGAAATAGAGAGAGATAATACATGCAGCTGTGCTGAAATATTTGTATCAACATCAGCTTCTGCCACAAAAAATTTTGTAGGTGACATATACACGTACATGTGACGGTATATATGCACAAGTGTGTATATATACAGATATATAATATTGTAACTTTTGACAGTAGTAGTTTGATTGAATTGCCACTTGTTTGGAAGTGGTTATGAAATTGGCACACATCACAACTATTGTTCATTTCGAGTCTGTGACCACTCCACGGGTTTTAATAATATAAGAGCATTGCTTTTTCCACAATGCTGTGCTCCATCAAAATCTGTATTCAAATTATCACCACACACACACACAAGCACTAATGTTTAACTTTTCAATGAAATGAGCCATGGTATTAACAACATCAGATATTTCATTTTTTAGAGAAGAGTGAATTTGCAAATAGTTAATTTTAATCCTTTGGATTAGAAGAAAAAATTGAACCACTTTGAAATGAACAAATTTCTTAATTGAGGCTTCTGATGGAAATACAGCAGTGTTATCTGGTTGTTTACTAAGGAAGTCAACTCATTCATCACTACCCGTTCATTTTACTTACAGGCATGAGAAAACCTAGGATTGAAAGTCACCAAAATTAATCTAGCATAATCATTAACTAAAAGGCTTTTATACCTTCAAAGAAATCATCACAAAAACTCAAAAGCAACCTGCAGAATGAGAAGACATTTGCATATCACACAGCTGATCAGGGAGTGACAATGGAATACACACTTACATAACTCAAAAGTAAAACAATAAATAAAAACCAGGTAACCCAATCAAAACATGAGCAAAAGAATGTAATAGACACTTCCCAAAGAAGACCTTCAGATGGCCGACAGGCAGATGAAAAATGGGTCACCATCACTTATGACAAGGGAAATGCAAACCGAAACCACTGTGAGATTCCATTCGCACCTCACTCCTGTGAGAAGGGCCCAAGGCCCGAGATAGAAAGCTACAAAGGCTGGTGAGTGCCCACAGGTAGGGTGAGCACAGTACTGCCTGGGAGAAGGCCGACTGGGCAGCCTCTGTGGGAAACAGTATTGGAGACACCTTGCAAACAAACAAGAAGGAAATAGGAGCCCATAATCCCTCTCTAGGTGTTTACCCAAAGACCGCGAAAATGCTCAGATGAAATGTTACAGGTAGTGAGAGAGGGACACCCCTAAACCCCCAAAACCTGCCCACTCTAAAAAGGTTCTGCCATCCGCTGCATCAAGACAAAATATAAGACCTTACATGGAAAGGAACGTTAATACAAGGAGTGCGCAATACAGAAGAGATGAAGAATATACTTTCTAAATCTAACACCCAGAGTTACCTGCTCCCTTGTCGGTAAAAGTCAACCCAAAAGGGATTGGCCCAAAGCAAGGCCTGAAAGCCCATCACAAGTCTAAAGCACCTCTGTCAGGGACCCACAGAAAGGGGTCAGAAGTGGCCAGAGACGTCTGGGAGGAAAAGAACAAAATCAAAATGAAGATAAAGCTACCGTAGTCACCTCCCGATGGGTCTCTTGTCTACGTCTGTGTCATCTAGTCCAGGGTCAAGAAATAAGAGCCACTTGGTCATGTGTCTGTGCACCATGTGCCTCCCTTAGGTCACTTCTGGCTCCATCCTGCGTCCTTCCTCTCAGTCTCCTCTCACATTCTTCTCCTTTCTGCCCAGCTCCACCCCTCTTTGGGTGGGGCAGGGAACCTGGAACTTCCCCTTTTCCTGGGGACCCCCCAACCTCCATTACAAAAAGATTGTGCTCCTGAGCTCATGTTTGAGCTCCTGAGCTCACGGCTGTGCTGTCCACGTTTGCCAAGCCAGGAAGCTGAGCCAAGCACCCGCTGACGGGTGTGTACATAAAGAAATTATGGAATATAAACTCAGCGGACCGCTACTGAGCTGTGACAAAAAGTGTCTTTTGGGACCAAATGGATGGACTCGGTGATGAAGCTAAGTGAAGTCAGAAAGTGTAAGACAGCTAGCTAATGGTCTCACTGATCTATGGAAAATAACAGCACACCGCATGGCAATGTACAACAAAAGCAATTCTTAGAACTAGTGAAAAGTTTTGGTGTCCAGTGGGAACAGGGGACAGTGAGGGAGGGGGAGAGGGGTGAAGGGGAAAAGGGTTGGTGGAGGCGTGAAGAGGCAGCCCGAAAGAGTCACAGGCATGGAAACACCTGACAAATTAGATGGCAGAATTGCTTCACTATGACATTCTAACATGTCTCCCTCAGCTGCACGTGTTCAAATGTCAACTTCAGGCCCATTCTTCTTAAGTGAAGCATTAGCTTCTGAAGTAGATGCTGTTGCTTTGCCATATTTGTGTCTGATTTTCAAAAGAACAGTGGTAGATGGCAAACACAGACAAGTATCTTACGTAAATCATACATACATCACTGACTTCCTTAAGAAAACCGAACGTCCCGTTTTGAGTTTTGGTATTGCTTTGAGTCAGATGCTGATAAAAGCACTCATTGCAAAATTAAAAAGCATTACCAATTAATAAAATAAATAGCTTTACATGTTCCGTAAATGATAAAGTTTCTTTAATAAGAATGTTTGGCAAGAATGGTGGGTCTCTATTTCCTAAACATAATTTGCATAACCTTAAGCTATAATTTCCCGTATTTTTCTCTGGCCCAGAGGAGGCCCTGTGATCTCATAGGTCACCACATGACCATAGCAATGCCTGAAATTTGGTAAGCCAAGTGGCCAGCACCCCAAAAGTTTTCCTGTCCCCTCTCTTAAAACCATAGGAGTTAGCTTGCACTAACCGTTGGTGCTTGAGCTGTTAACTTTAACAGTATTACCCTATATACTACCCTTGAAAGGGGCATTACCAGCTAGGTTTTTTCTGAACAGTGCCAAGATAACAGAGTCAAATTATCAACACTCTTCTTTTGGATTTAGCCATAATTAAGGAGAACTCTTCACTGTGTATGTGTGTTACATGCCACTGGATGAGAACATGGAACAACCACCCCATGTTGGTCCATGGTGATTTATTTATAAAAAAAAAATCATAAAAATCTGACTCACTCCATTCAAAAAATCAACTCGAAGTGGATTAAAGACCTAGACATAAGAATGGAAACCATAAAATACCTGGAAGCAAAGATGGGTCAAACACTACATGACATACACTTAAGTGACATCTTTAAAGATAGAGCACCCAATGCCACAATAGTGAAAGCAAGGATAAATAGATGGTACTACATCAAGTTAAAGAGCTTCTGTACAGCAAAAGAGACATTACAAAAAACAGACAGCCCACTAATTGGGAAAACATTTTCTCACACAAAAGTAATGATAGAGGACTGATCACAAAAATATACGGAGAACTGATGAAACTCAACAAAAATAAACAACCCCATCAAAAAATGGCAGAAGAGCTAAAAAGACACTTCTCCAAAGAGGAAATGCAGATGGCCAACAAGCATATGAAAAAATGTTCAACATCACTCGTAATAAGGGAGATGCAAATTAAAAAAAAATCTGTAAGTCTTGGGTAAAAGATAAAGCCAACAGAAGGTCAGGAAAGCATGTGTAAACCAAGGACTCTCTCATGGAATCAAACCTATGATGCCTCGCCACAGTGAGTGTAACTGGGCGTTTCCTCCCAATGAGAGGGAAGTCATGGAGGGAAGTCTGAGTTGAATAATGACATGAGCGAAGCTGTACACCCTGTTTACCATCTGGGGCATGGGGTAAGGGGAGGGGGAACCACCAGGAGCCTCAGGCTGTAGTCTCAGGAGAGGACAAAACAAGATGTCCCCAGTAGAAGGGTAAATAAGCAAACTTAAACTATGTGTAGGCAGCTGGAAGAAGGAAGAACCTACCCATGGGTTTGGATTTCAGGTCTGTGCTGCAGGTGACAGGACACAGAGCAAGGATGCATGCCAGATAAGAAAATCACCTGCTTAATTCCCCTTAAGGTAATTCTATTTTTACCAAGCAGTCTTCTAATTGCAATGTAGATGCATGTAGACTTAGCCATAGAAGGAACTACTAGCTATCAGCAAATACTATGATCTGTGCGACTTGATACTTTTTCACTCTAATAAATTCAGAATTTGGATTCTGGATTTAAAAAAAATTACATCATTTCTTAAGAGTTTAGTTCATTCGTGACAGCCCCCTAGAATTTCATCATCCCTGGTTATACTAGTAATTGAACATGCTAATGTATTCAGCAGAAAATAGGACCTGGACAGTGATGACCTTGAAAAGTCACCCCAAGGACACTCGTCTGAGCTGTCACTGGCTTGTCCAGTGCTTCACACATCTCTGAGGCCCATCAGGCCTATCAGTCTCCCACGTGAAGCAGGAAATATGCTGGCTATGACCACAACCTCTATTTCTCTGGCTGGTTTTCTCAATTTTCCTCCTTTCCAAAAGCAACCACCTTTAAGATATCATTGAGGGACTTTTTTCTCTTTCTTAGGTACAGGATTGTCCATCACATCCTTTTATGTGAGATACAATTGATTTTCACAAATGTACTTAAGTATCCATCTGTAAGGTACTTTATGGACTTACTGACAAGGGACATGTGATATCCTGAGAGGAAAGGTCCCTTGAAGTCTTGGCCACTTTACTGTCCTTTCCGGGACACTGAGACAGAGGAAGAGGAGCTGGGCTGGAACATTCACCACTGTCCTGGAGGGTGGAACTCTCCAGTTCCGCCAATAAGGCATCTATATGGAAAGACACAAGAAGATTATCATAGAGAATATGTCTTCTCGAGTAGTGAACCTCTTAAATACCCCCACGGTGCTCTCTTGGGGGGCCCCTTTCCTCTTGGGTTAAGGCTATTTTCAAATGTCTTCCCTTACTCCTTATTTCACGTCAAAAATGTGCTTTGTTCTACCGGGAGACAGTCCACTCATTGTGGCCTATGCCTTATTTCCTCCGGAAGCATTCAATATTCGTCTCACCGTACAATTTGCCTTCTTCTATACAGGGTATTAAAGGTTAGTATTCATTTACTGGGATCACTACCAAGATGTTCTCTAGCTTCCTAGTGCTGTGCTTTAACCTGCTGCGCCACCAGGGAGGGCCTGCATGACCGTTTTTTCAAAGTGTAGCAGAGCAGTAACACTTATTCTTATCGCTGGTGATTTTTTTTTTTTTTTCTGCATCCTGAGCACAAAACAAAACCAAATTCTCAGAACCAAGAGTAAGTATTCTGTCACTGAGGGTATGAACACATAAAAGGATTCTGCGATCCAAAGAGTTGAAATTGGTTTCCCTAGGGGTTTTCTTGGGGAAAATCAGACTGCTTTACAAGAATTATGTTATTCTGTTTCTGTTATGAAAATTTTATTAGTAAGTATAAAGTTAACATAAGACAGATCCCGTGCTAAGGACTTTACATGGTTCATTTAGTCTATGTGTGTGATAGCACAATCTTTATTTTATAGGTTAAGAAAGAGATATCCTCAGTTCATGTCACACTTCGCTGAGAGCAGAATCCACCAGTGAGGTCCTGGACTACCCTAGGTCTGAGACTAACTTCAAATGGGAATTCCAACCTCCGTTCTCACTGGGTTCTCTGGACCACCTAGACTTGGGTCCTTCTCTGAAGCTGTGTCTTCTCTTCTCTGCTGAAGTATTTGTGTTAGAACAGCGTTTTTCAAATTGTGGGTCGAGAACGACAGGTTGTAATTGTTAAAAGATAAGATGAGGTATTTCCAGAGAGGGGCCCTTCTTGTTGGTGCATCGGCTTAAAGCACTGCACTATGAAGCGACCTGCAGCCACTGCAGCATGAGTTCAATTCCTGGCCAGGGAGGTGACCCACAGGGCGTGGCAGGCCTCTCCTGACTCCCCGCCCCCACCGCCTCCCTCAGCAGTGATTTCAGTAGATCTGCCTGTTCTCTGTCTCTGGAAAATCCATTCACCCCCCTGCACTTCTAGCCTTTACCCCAGTTCTTGTATGCATAAATAATTCAATCTATTTTTTTCCTAAAGAAATAGTTTCAGAGTGAATTATGTAATGTGTAGAATTTAAAATGATCCAGGAATGGAAGGTAGAAGGTGGGAGTAAATAAAATAAGATTGAATAAGCATTAATGATTATATAAATTGGCTGGCAGGTACATCTGGTTTCATTAAACAATTTACTTTTGTATATTTTAAAATTCCCTAAGAGATTTTTTAAAAAGAAAACTAAAGTGGAAAGAGAAAGTTAAATTTCTTTCTTCCTTAGGGCTTTCCCAGTCAGACTAAATTCCACATTTTTGAGTTCCAAAGTTTTATTCCACATTCAATTAATATATAGTCCTTGCCTTGTGTATTTTCTAAACTTTTTTTCTAACCATGAGTCATGGATCCTCTTGGATTCAGAATAAAAAAGTGTGGGCCCTCCCTGGTGGCACAACGGGTTAAAGCACAGTACTGTGAAGCTGTCCACAGCCACTTCAGCGTGAGTTTGATCCCGGCCAGGGATTGGCCAGGGAGTGACCCACATGGCGTGGCAGACCTCTCTTGTCTCTCCGCTGCTCCCCTCAGCAGTGTACT